CCCGACCTCCTCGGTGCCAACGAGGTCGACAGCAGCAGCAGAAGCAACAGAGGGCAGAAGGGGAACGGGGGAACACCCCTCAAAGAAAGGGGCGCGAGGGTCGCCGCGAGAAGCACCTACAGCAAGTATACTCTTCTCAGCTGCAGTGAGGCGCTCCTTTAGCAGGTCGACGGTGAGCTCGGTGGGGCAAAGGGAGAGAAAGTGGTCCCTGACTGAGCGAAGAAAGTCAGGGAGACGGGTGACGAGGTAGAAGAGGGTGATGTACATGGGGGGGGGGGGTTCTTGGCGCGAAACTCGGAGGGAAGCGCTGCGCGGTAGCGGGTGTCACTAGTGCGGAGGTGAGTGATGAGGTCAGCGACTGTGGCAAAGGCGGCCAGGTCAGGGAACAAGTACGGCAGCATGAGGCGGCTGAGGGCAGCAGTGGCAGGGGAGGAGTAGCGCGCGACGACAGCGCCATACAAAGACTTAGCAGTCTTGTACTGGCCAAAGTGCACGCGCTCAGCAGACGGGAGGTGACTACGAACAGCAAGGCGAGCAACAGCGTCACGAGTAGTCCACTGCGAGCGAACCGTACTGTCAGCAGTGGCAGCAGGTGCAGCAGAGGCGCCGGACGTGTGATCGAAAAGCGAGACTCCGTCCTTAGAGTCGCACTGAAGAAAGAGCTGCAGATCATCTACCCAAACGTCGAAATCAACCGCACGACCCTGAGCATCAAAGGTAAGAACAGTAGGGCTAGCCATGGCGGCAGTAGCAGCAGTAGCAGCAGAAGCAGCAGCAACAGCAGAAGCAGCAGCAGCAGCAGTAACAGCTGTAGCAGTAGGAGCAGCGCGGGCAGGGCAGCGCGGCTCAGTAGGGCAGGGCGGCGCGGCTCGGCAGAGCGGCGCGGCTCGGCAGAGCGACGCGGCTCGGCTGGGCGGCGCGGCTCGGCAGAGCGACGCGGCTCGGCTGGGCGGCGCGGCTCGGCTGGGCGGCGCGGCTCGGCTGCGCGCTTGTCGGGCAGGTGCGCGGGTAGCGCGGGTAGGGCAGGTGCTCACCAGGGGCGGGTAGGGCAGGTGCCACCGGCGGCGGGTAGGGCAGGCGCGCGACTGGCGCGGGTAGGGCATGCGCCCGACGGGCGGCTGCAGGCGCTCGACGGGCGGGTAGGGCAGGGCCGCGACGAGCTGCAGGGTAGGGCAGGTGCGCGACGGCGGCTGCAGGTAGGGCGGGCGCGCGACGGCGCGGTTAGGTCAGGCCAAAAACGGGCGGCTACAGGGCAGGGCCGCGACGGGCCGTTAGGTCAGGGCCGCGACGGGCCGGGAGGGCAGGGCCGCGACGGGCGGCAGTAGGGCAGGGCGCGCGACGGCGCAGGTGAGGCAGGCGCGAGGCGCGCTTCGGGCAGGGCAAGAAAAAACGATCGTGGTGGGCCCTTAAAAAAAAAAATTTACGTTCCCACTAGGGAACCTGCTCTGAAACCATGCGAAAGATAGAACGAGGAATGAATGAACTAGCAAGCAGGTGGGTACAAGTAGGAAAACCTAAAAATGTTGTACCCCATATGGACTACCCCACTACAGCGTACACAGACTATGTCATATAAGTTTGACAGTTCCCGCCTAGCTAGGTTCACCCGCTATGTTACCACGTGTCTTTCATTGTCTCGTCAGTCCATATTGTCAGAGCTTCGTTATTCGTTATTCCACGCAACTCTGTTGATCACCTCATAATAGCAATCTTCTCTTACTCGTTTCATTGAACGCGTAACATTGTTTGACCCTTTTAGGCGCGTAACCATTTTGTCCCTGACGGGTTGTTTATCGGACGGCCCGTTCGAAATGGTGGTTACTGATGTCGCCTGTGCTCGCTCACAATTTCGCACATAACTATGCGAAGTCGCCATCGCAACATAACCGAGTGGACCTTTTATGTGAAAAAGGAGGGAACGAAGCACCCGAACGTTTACGATTCGCCATAAACGGGCGGGTAGAAAATGACGGCTTGTGGTTGGAGCGCGAAAACTTGCTGACACTGCGGCAACATACGAAAACTACGACACTCGCTGGCCCGAGCCGCAGTACTATCTGTGCGAAATTTAGGACACTCGCCTGATGGAGTAACATGACCCAGTTTCGCGCGAAACCCTAAAGTCTGAAAAAGTTATACTTCCTAGTTCGAATACTCGATGGTGTCTCGATAAACGGACGGTTCCGTATGGGAAACACAACCGTCCGTTTATCGAACGTTCGTTTTCAAACGCAACATAAAGAAAAACCAAAATGGTTACGCGCCCTTAGTGCAACCCTCGCTCGCTTCATCAATTGCATCGCACAGGCAACGGGGTGCTGGCGAGAGAATTCAGTTTGGACGAAATGACGAGACCGGGGTAAACTCAACACACGTACGAGTCTTTCGCTCATCACGAGCTTTCGTGTGTTTAGTTACCGGACAGGCGATTTCGCACTCTGCAATACAAGTCTGGCCTTCGGTTTGGTTTGAGTTGCCTTGCCTCCCCCGACAGCTCAGCTTGGGGAGGTCGCTCAAGTCAAGCACACCCGCGCTGCCCACAGATTCTATCAAGGCAGACAGGTCCATTCCACTGAGTTCGGTGTGCCAGCCAGGCCCAATTTGCGAGTCGCACAGCGAATCCAGCAAGGGGATTTGAGCACTTTTGGTGTCGGTCGCACAATGCTCAATGCTGCGCTGGCCTCGCATGCGCAACCTCGCCTTGTCAGACTGATACAGAACCATCCACACCCACACAGATATTTTCCTTGTGCACTTCTGAGTGCAGTGGGGTACAGAAGGATTATACATTGTTAGCGGAGTGGATTTCTAAAGATCCCTCTAAAATCGCTAATGAAAATTAGGTAAAGTCTTCATCCCTCTGGTGACGACATATGTCACGAGTATTCAGGCAGCCACTGGTAGAATCAGAACTGTTGTCTGTATAGAATGGTCCCTTTTCAGCCGTTCTTGTTGCGGTTTTTAGTACTACAAGCCGGGTTTTTACAGCTAGATGATGGTAGTATAACCTTATTAGAGATAAAGGGTCGAAGGGTCGCCACTGCATAGCGATAGATTCGCAACGACATCCAGGCCTCTTCCCGACGGAAATAGTGGCACTTAGCCACAGGCGACATTATCACTGCACGGGCGACAGGAGCCTGAAGGATGATGGGGCCGACGGCAGGGTGGCGCGGCGGCATAGCGAGAACGGCGGTAGCAGTAGTAGGAATTATCGCACTTATGCTGACGCGCTGCTGCGTTCCTCTCGCCGCAGCTGCACCCGTGCTAGACCCCGACAGTAAGCCACAGGGCGAGGTGGAGCAGCGTGCTTTTTCTATGTGCCGCATTCATCATGCACCCACCCATCACATTTTCGTGACATTTTGCCCCTCCCTTTTTCGCGAAGTTATTCTGTTTTGTAAGGAGGTGAAATTGCATAAGACCCACCCACCCATTACTACTAGCAGTACCCTGACGTCAGAACCCTTAAGTCAGTACCCTGACGTCAGAACCCTTAAGTCTATTTGCGAAACCATGATATGATTGCGTATATCGCTCAACGCACCTAGTAATTATCTCCCAGCACAATCTTGTTTGTGATGGCGTGGCATGGTCTGACATGGACGGGCGGTTGTGTTTGGGCGTGTCTTGACGTGGGAGCCCTGTGGTGCTGTGCCATCGTGTTTGGTGGTATGGCCATCATGGTACCTGGCATCGCGACATGGCATGGCGTGGCATGGGATGGTGGCATGACATGGTTGATGAATGATGGCAGTGGGCGTGTTGGAGATGCTGGCGTCTGCATGGAGCGGCATAGAAGGCAGAGAGACGTGGACTAGAGGCAGCGATTGCGACACCATGGTAGCAGTCTCATGCGACGTCTACGGCCACGTCACCAGGATGTACGCATCATAGCCTAGCTTGTGAAAGCGACATGTCCTGGCACAGCATCTAGTTGAGCAATTGCCACAAGCCAGAGACTACGCCTCTGGATTTGGCTGCACCTCGCCAACCTGCGCTAAGAGTTTGTCTCCTCACGCGGGCACTACCATTCTCACGTGCATTGTGCTTCCTCTGCTCCGCAGTGACACATACGGCAGCACGATAGCGGCCTCCATTCCTGAGGGCATCACCGGCTTGAAGCACCTGTCGGTTCTGTGAGTGGCGAGGGAGTTGTGGCTGTACAACCGCCACATTGGCGCAGTTGACGGTTCAAAGGAGCTTCTTGCAAGGCGCAGACACCCTCATTTTGATTCGCTCTGCTTCGCTCAGTACATGACCACGAAGTTTCGCTCCCCATTCTACTTCCAACCTCCTGGCTTCCTCGCCCTGCTCAAGTCTGTATCTCCTCTCCGTGTTTCCGTCTCTGCCTTCTTCCCCCAGGAGCATCGATTCCAGTCAACTGATAGGCTCCCTTCCCGCTGCTCTCTTCTCTCTGCCCAATCTCATCCAACTGTAAGCCTCCATGGGCTCTGCTTACTGCAACGCATTCACCACAACGTCATGCGGCGCTCCATTTGACCCACCATGTGATGCGGGCTGGTGAAGTTGCCCATGGAATGTGAAGGTCGAGTTACCCGTGCTCTTCTCCCCACCATGTGTACCCGGACATTTCGCTTTTGCGTGCACCACCCTTTCGTTACATCCACCCTCTGCCTGCAACACTGGCATGGGCCACAAAGGTTTAACCCAAGCACACACGTACGCATGCATGCTGATTGCCCATCCATGTGTGGTGCTTGTGTGCAGTTCTCTCACAGAGAATAGACTCTCAGGCAGTATTCCGTACGCTGTGGGAAACGCCAAAAGCTTGGAAACACTGTCAGTTTCACCACCTCGTTCTGCGCCTGTTCCACGCGTTTTCCACGTTTGTCAGCTTTGCTTGTTCGAAAACCCTTTTCCCGTTCCATTGCTCAGACACCTATAGGCGTCCATTGAGCCTCTATGCGCTTATTCCTGCGACTCTCAATCGCCAGCTTCCCTTTGCGCTGATGTCTCTGATGCCTGTAACCTGACAGATGCATTTCTGACAACTATATAAGCGGTTCCCTCCCTTCCACTTTGGGAAACCTCTCTGCGCTCGTCAACCTGTGAGCTCCACCCCGCTTGCTCCACCATCTCCTTGGTACACCATACGATAAACGAGACGAGAGCATGCCTGTGGGTGGGCATGTAGGCGGGCGGGCCTGTGAGTATACACGCCACAAAACGTGTAGGAAAGAATGTCGCGGAAAACCTCATGAGCTGTGCAGATGCCAAATACTAAGCCTTCCTCACCACTCTCGGCCCTCTCTTTGCCCTGTCTGTTGCAGTGTTCTCAACAACAATTTTTTATCGGGATCCATTCCAGAGTCTCTTAGCAATCTGCAGAAACTCCAGTACTTGTGAGTGGTACCCTGTATTGGCAGATGACTGCGAGAGATGCCCGTGTGCATGGAGGAAACAAATTTATCGCAATAATTGTGATTTATGTCGCAGCACAAGCATCTGAATGTGCTTTTTCCGACCATGAAAAGAGTTGCGATGAGGTGAATCATCCTTGCAATCTCAAAGGTGACCAACATAGAAGGCTAAGAGTGACCCACTCAACTGTGCTAAGGATGAGCCCCTGAATAGCCAAGGTGATCTTGTAGAGCTCAGCCTCATAAGGGAAGAGGTAGTTGAATGTTGATTGTGTGGAGCGTCAATCTACAATTCCACTTCCAATGAGGTGAACGGCAGTCAGCGCGAAAGTCAACAAAGAGGAGTTACTGAAGCCAAAAACTACAGGAGGGTAGGGCGGTTAGGGAGGGGAAGGGGGTGATACATCTATGGCCAATTTCCAGTATACGAAGGTAGGAAATGTTCGACTAGGTAGAGACTTGGGAAATAACGACACTGATTCTGGCTCCACTCCAGAATCAGGTCGTCACGGTTGCATTCAGTTGATGGAGCATGGTGATGAGTGGTAGCTAGGTTCGGCTGTGTGATTTTGGTTGGCAAATTACTCCGATTGGCTGTCCATTTCAGTGTGCTAATAACCGCGTCGAAATCACAAATCTCTTTTTCGCGAGGGCATAGTATATGTTTTTACTTATTTCCCTATCTCAAGCATCCAACATCCTTACTCTTGGTTGACGTCCAGCGTACGGTCGCTGGATGCGCCATCGCCATTCCGGCTTATCCAATATAGGGCTGAACACAGGGCGCTTCTGCGGAGATAACTAATTCAACGGGAGTTAGACTACGGGCAAGGCACGGGGTAGGAGTGATCTCTGCGTTCGTTCATTAGTAGTTTGCTTGTGTTCTCACTACTCGCTGGTTCACAGGGGGAAATTGGCAAGAGTTAACGAAAGTTGACAACAATGATACAAGGAGGATTGGAAAGATTGACTACATCAGATGCCTAGCAACCTAGCACAATGGCAAGTCGACCTCCAGCACACCCTGAGGGCGACTTGCCAGCAGGGCGACCTCAGGCGTCCTCAGGCGCCCATGTGCATTGCTAAGCTGGCGTGCCAGCACACACCAGCATCAGGCCACCATGTGCGCATGTGCGCGCACCTACTTCGCAGTTGCCAGGTGACGGTTGAGTATGACGTGCACCGCCACGCACATTGCGCAGGTGCCAAGTCGACCACGTGCCGACGGTTGCACCTGTGGAGCCATGTCGACCTCGGGATTCCGAACCACAAGTCGACTTCGCCAAACCCTCCTGGGCGATGGTCGCGCACCTCGCAGAACCCCGTCGCCCGGGTAACCTTGTCGACCGGGCAACCACGTCGACCAGCAAATTCTGCTCGTGCTCGTCTGCCATCGAGGTCGACGACCACCTCCAGTCGACCACACCAAGTCGATCACACCCCTGGTCGACCAGGTCCAGGTGTCAACCGACCACACCAAGTCGACTGCCCCAAGTCGGCGTCCCCAAGTCGACGCCTTCCACAGGTCGACCTCCCAAGGCCGACCACCTGAACTCAGCGCCCTCCAAAGTCGGCGCCACTGCAGCGACCCCCGTGTAGGTCGACCAGCCATGTCGACCAGCTCGCCCACTGCTACAAGTCGGCTGTACCTCCCGCACACCCGACCACGAAGTCGGCTCTACTCAAGCGAGGACGGGGCCAACCACAACTCCCGTTGACAGCTTCAACTCGTATACTGTGCCTGGAGGACATGGGCGAAGGATACTGGCAGGGCACTGAATGGGGGGGGTCGCCTTGGAGAAAGTAATATGGAACATCCATACAGAGAATCTCCCAGCCTATGCGTGCACCAAGAAGGAAACAAAATGTCTGAAGACAAGTAGTGGGGGAGTAAGTGGGAAAATGGTAAATTCATTCACGTTCTGTGAACCCTTTGGAATAATACCAACCTCTGAAGTTGATGAATTCCCCGGGCAACAGCTTGACACGATAGACCCATTTTTCCTTTACAAGAGCGGTAAATAGAAGTTTCCGGGTTTCGGGTTTAGGAGTACGAAGAAATCCTCATGATCCAAAGCTTGGGTGAAGACATACCCTTCCGATTTAGCATCTCGTCGCGCATAGATATGTGCTTATTATCATGACAGTTTTCTTGTACACCCACACTACGTGTTTTTGTCACAGCATATAGATTATCTTGGTGGAGAATAGAGAAAAAGGGAGGAAATGATAGAAATGAAGTAGTGAGCCTAACGAAGAGAAATGAAGAAACACGACGGAGGCGAAACATAGCATCAAACAAATTGTGTGAAGGGGACATCTTCTTGGTGTAGGAATACTTCCGAGTGAATTTCTCACACTCGGTGATGCTAGCCCACATAGAGGCGTGACGATTCAGGACTGAGGGGTGGGGATGGAGACAGTGTAGACAAGGAGAAGAAAGGGGGTGGGGAACTGCTGAAGTTGGTGTCGGTGACCCAGAGAAGCGGAGAGACATTGTGATGTGAATGGAGAAAAGCTTCTTGAAGCGTTCTTGAGAAGAACAGCGTGCAGAGGAGAGGTGGGTGAAAAGCTTGTAGTGTTCAGATCCGGGCATCAGAATAGTCATGGGGCGAGTGAGGCGGGTGGAGGAAGGGCGGCAGGGAAGGACGGGGGTAGGAGGAGCACAAAAGGGTAGGAAGGAGACGGGAGAGGAGCAGCCTCAGAAGTTGAGGAGGGGGCAGGAGATGAAGGTGGAGAAGGGGAAGGAAGGAGGGACGAGAGAAGTAGAGGAGGAGGGTGAGTAGAGATGAACAGGGAAGAAGTGTCAACGCCAGCTGAGGGCAGGTGATGTCGTGCCGGGTGTAGTGAGGCCAGGTAAAGGGTAAGAGGCGTGCCACATGCTGGGGGTCGCACGGAGGCTTGCGAGCAGCCAGGGGGTCAAGCGGGTGAGAAGGAGGGAGTACCCTAAATATGCAGGGGTGGTCGTGGGGATGAGAGGAGGCGCACGACCAGCAGGGGGGGAAGATGCATGCGAACAATAAGGAAGGTCGTGCGGGTGAGAGTAGCTAAGGGTGCATGACCAGCAGGGAGGTTGCGTGATTGTGACAGATGTTAGTGTTAGCCCTCAATCTCACACTTTGTATTTTATACTTTATATATCCTAACGTAATGTAGATTACACTTTGGGTTTGGTTTGGTGTACACCTACATCCCAACCAAACCCAAGTGTAATCTCCAAGCGATCTCCAACCCACCAATTGGAGATTGTCTTGGGATTACCCTCCATCCCTAGAGATTGCCCCCGATTTCCTTCCCATCCAATCCTTGCCCACTTTGGATCTACTTAAAGAGCTTCTAGCTCATTACTAATGTATTGGTTCTAAGCTTAAGTTGTGACAACAGAGTAGGCGTGAAACGTGGAAGTGGGAGCGCAAGCAAGCATTAGGGAGGTAGGTAAAGGAGGGGTTACACAGGAATCGACTCCAATTACCATGTATGAAACACCTGTTAGTTTATTGACTGGGCTAAAATGGCGTGTTGGTGTTGGTGGGTCAGGGCACCCAGGACTGTACCTCTAGCCCTCCCAAGATCCATGGGTCATTCTAGTGGCCCTAGGAGCCCACAGCGGGTGATGGACAAGAGCGATTGTGCCAACTTAGAAGCCTGAACCCCAGACCGCTCTGTTAAAGAGTAGAGTCTTCAAGCCAAAAGTGACGAGAGGGTTATAGAGTAGGTTGGGTATGAAACCCAACCAGACTTATGGCATATTCAGTCTATAAAACAAAGAAGGAATGATCCTTATTTGGATCTGAGTCAGAAGAAAGATAAAGTTGTCAGATCAGAGTACCAAATACAGAACAGAAACTAGCCAGCTCCAACCAAAAGTTTCCATGCGGTCGATATTTCTCCTTCGTCTTCCTTACCTTTCGCTCTCCCCCGTTTCCTCCTTTCTCCTCTTTCTCTCCCCCCACCTTCGCACCCAACTCCCCTCCCCTCCGAGACTCAGGAGTCTTGACTTGAATATGTTCAACGGCTCCATCCCAGACACCCTCGGCAACCTGCAAAAGTTGACACGCGTGTGAGTCAGCCTGGGGTAGGGATGCACACTGTGATGTAACAACAAATGGAGGCAGCAGGATGAGAGCTAGAAGGAGGGTGATTGAGTGTTATGGACGTGTGTTAGGTTGGCAATGCGGAGATAACTACTACAACGGGAGCTAGACTACGGGCTAGGCACGGGTGCTCGTGTGATCTCTGCGTTCGTTGGTCCTTAGTTGTTTTCCTAGTGCACACACTGCTTGCTAGTTCACGGGGCAAGTTGGCAAGAGTTTCACTAGAGAAAGTTCATAACAATGGTACAATCAGGTTGGCAAGACAAGACTACATCAGAGCTAGCGTTCAGGTCGGTCGACTGCCAGCGCAGCATGGTCGACCGCGTTCTAGCACGACTTGGTCGACCGCGCTCCAGCAGTGCAAGGTCGACGGCGTGCCAACGCAGCAGGTCGACGGCGTGCCAGCGTTGCTCCCGCAGTACAGCATTGCACCAGCTTCGCAGGTGCTCGCAGATGATTGGCGTGCTGAGCCTCGTCACCTGCACAGTGCACACACCTAGTCAACCTGGCGCTGACGACTGCATCTGATCAGCCACGTCGACCTCGGGATACCACCACCGAGGTCGGACTCGCCAACTTCGCCTGGGCGACCGTCGCACTCCTCTGCAGAACCTCGTCACCCAGGTAACCTGGTCGACCGGGCAACCACGTCGACCAGCTGCTCCTGTATGTGTCCGTCGACCTCCCAAGTCGACGACCACCCCAAGTCGACCTCACCAGGTCGACCACACCCCTGGTCGACCAGCTCCAGGTCGACGTCACTCCTGGTCGACCAGCTCCACGTCGACCAGCGCAGTTGTCAGCCGACCACCCAAGTCGGCTACCCAACGTCGGCGTCACCAAGTCGACGCCCTCCGTAGGTCGACTTCCCAGGTCGACCTCCCTGAAGTCGGCGCCACCCTGAAGTCGGCGCCCGTGCAGTGGCCCCCGTGCAGGTCGACCTCCTCGTCAACCAGCTCGCCCACTGCTGTAGGTCGGCTGTTCCCCTCACACCCGACCACGAAGTCGGCTCCGCCCAAGCGAGGACGGGGCCAACACACAACTCCCGTTGACACTCTCCTGCCGCGTTCACGCTTGGGCCCCCGGCCCACACGGCAGTACTCCTCAGAGAATAGCTCGTCGACGTGCACCCAACACACAGCACGTCGTCTACCGCACCAGCCATGCAAGGGGGCATGGCACCTACTGCTGCACGTCGTCATCTTCGTCGCCCACATCGGCCAAGCGCACCTGGCCGATGGCGACGGAGCACCGGTTGAAGGCCGGATAGTGCAGCGCCTTCGTCAGGAAGTCGGCCGGCTGCTCGGTGGTCGCGATGTACCTCAGCGAGAACTTCCCGCGCCTCACCATGTGCTGCAGCCAGGCCTGTCGCCGCTCCATGTGCTTGAGGTTGCCCGTCAACCCCATGCCCTCGGCGACTGTGATGGCCGACTTGTTGTCCACCCGAAGGACGGTCGGCTTCCCGGCATCCAGCTGCCGGAACTCTGCGAGGAGGAAGCGAAGTCGGCGTCCCTCCTTGCCGGCTTCGGTGGCCGCCACGTACTCCGACTCGGTCGACGACAACGTCGCGCATTTGATGCGCTGGCTCGACCAGGAGACTGCAGCCCCTCCGTAGACGAACACGTAGCCGCCCGGCGTCGTCGGCGTCCACGTAGCCGACCAGCTCCAGCGACTCAGGTCCACCGCCGAACTCCAGGGCGGTGTCACGCGTGTTGGCGAGGTAGGCGAGGCAGCGGTCGACCTCGCGCCAGTGCTGGTCGCTCCTCACCGTGAGGCCGCTCCCCAGCTTGCTGCAGGCGAAGGCGATGTCCGGCCTCGTCGTCGTCGCCGCGAACTGCAGCGAGCCGACTTTCTGCCGGTACTCCTCCTCCTGTCGCTCCTGTGCCTCCTCGTCGTCGAAGGTGAGGTCGGCGTAGGCGTCGACCGAGACCGGCGTCTTCGGGGTGCGCCCGATCTGCTCCTCGTCGATGAAGCGCCTACGAAGCTTGTCGGCGTAGCCCTGCTTGTGCAGCCACAGCTTCCCCGCCGACCTGTCGCGGACGATCTCCAGCCCGAGGTACTTCTGCACTGGCGAGATCTCACGCAGCTCGAAGGCGGACTCCAGCAGCCCCTTCAGCTCCTTCAGCATCTCGGTGCTACTGCTGGCGGCGAGCAGGTCGTCGACGTAGACCAGCACCCAGCAGGCCACTCCGTCGTCGTCGACCTTGAAGTACAGAGCCTCGTCGACCTGTCTCTTCTTCCACCCGGCGCCGACCAGCACGTCGTTGAGCGCCAAGTACCACAGCAGCGGCGACTGCTTCAGGCTGTACAGGCTCTTCAGCAGCTTGCACACCCGGGTTCCATCGTTGCGGTAGTCCGGTTGGGACATGTAGAGCACCCGGTCGAGCTTGCTCTGCAGGAAGGCGTTCTTCATGTCGAGCTGCATCAGGTTGAGGTTGAGGACGGCGACGATGCTGAGGAAGATCCTCAGCGTGACGTAGCTGCCCACCGGCGCGAACGTCTCGTCGTAGTCGGCGCCATACACCTGGGTGAAGCCCTTCACGACCAGCCTCGCCTTCTCGCGCTCAACGGTGTCGTCGACGTGGTACTTCGTCGTCAACACCCACCGGTTCTTCATGATGTTCACTCCCGGCTGGCGTTCGACCAGCTCCCAGGTGTCCATGTTGATGAGGCTGCGGATCTCCTCCTCCATGGCGGACTTCACCGCCGGGCCCTTCCAGCTCGCCAACGCCTCTTTCACCGTCATCGTCGAGATGTCCCAGCAATGCTCGGGGTCGGCATGCATGTCGGGGTCGAGCTCCGGAAACTCTTCATCCTCTTCGGCGTCGTCATACGCCAGGTCGTCGTCGTCCACGTCGTACACCGTGGTGAAGGCAGCGGGGACGAAGAAGTCGGGCGGCCTCCGAAGTCGGCCTGACTTCCGGGGTTCAGGCCGAACCTCCACCACGTCACTCTTGGTGGACTCCTCGGCGTCCCCTCCTTCGTCACGTCTTCACTGCCCTCATCGTCCTGCTGCACCTCGGTCGACGTCCTAGCCGACCTCTCACCTGTGGTCGGCCCCTCTGCCGACTGCCTGGTTGCCGACTGCTCCGTGGTCGGCTTCACCGCTGCCTGCTCCCCTGTCGGCTGCTTCTCCTCGACCTGCTCCTCTCCTAGCAACGTCGACTGCACTCTCACGTCGACTTGCCGCTCGTCACGTCGGCCACCGGCGATGACCCTGGACGGCGCCGAAGGCGACGTCCCACTACTCCCCTCATCGCCGGAGGCCGACACCGAGTTCAGCCCGCGCAGGTCGGCCAGGAGGGGAGGGGCAGGAGAGGGAGGGGAAGGAGGACGGACGTCCACGTCGTCCTCAGCAGCAAGCCCACCAACCTCGGCGAGCAGGGGCAGCGTCGCCGTTGTGGTGTCGGTCGGCGTGGTGGCCGGCGTCCGTCCTGACACTGGCCCGTACTCCGACTTCCACACTTCCAGCGAAAGGTCCTCGTAGAACACCACGTCCGACGTGGTGACCACCCGGTTGTTGGCGACGTCGAGGAGCTCCCAGCCCTTGCTCTCCTCCGACACTCCGAGGTGAAGGCCCCACCTGGCCTTCGGCTTCAGCTTTCCACCACGCTGCTGCTCGGGGACGAGGAACTGCGCCATGCAGCCCCATACCCGCGCCAGCGACAAGTCGGGCTTCTGCCCGGTCAGCAGCTGGTACGGCGTCGTCCCCGACGGCAGCGTCGACCTCTCAAGGCAGTTGCGGACCCAGACGGCCTGCCGCAGAGCGAGGTGCTACCAGTGGTGCTGCACGCCCATGTGCAGCAGCATCGTTCGCACCGACTCCACCACCGTCCTCATCTCCCGCTCCGCCATGCCGTTCTGCTGCGGGGTGTACGGGCAGGTAAGGTCGTGGACGATCCCCTTGCCGTCCACGAAGTCGGTGAACTTCTTCCCGAGGAACTCCCCTCCTCGGTCGGAGCGAAGCATCAGCACCGACGTCTTCGTCTGCCTTTCCACCAACATCAGCCACTTATGGAACTCCAGCAGCACATCCGACTTCTTGGCGACCGGCCGCACCCACACGAAGCGGGTCTTGCGGTCCTTCAGCAGCAAGAAGTACAAGCTGCCGTCCTTGGCAGCCACGCGGAACGGCCCGCACAGGTCGAGGTGCACGACGGCCAGCACGTCGTCGGCGTCGGAGCCTAGGTCGGGGAAGGTGTGCCGCGCCAGCTTCCCGCCGACGCACGAGACACACGGTGAGTCGGCCCCGTTGTCGACTTGAGGTCCAGCCCAATGGCGACCTCGTTCGTCGCCGAGCTCCGGATGGTGTCCATGCCGACATGTGCAAGTCTCGCATGCATCCTGTCCGGCGTCGACTTCGTCTTAGAGACGATCGCCCTCAGGGCGACGTCGACCTCGTTGAGCAGGGACGCAGGTCGGTGCAGAGGACACGCCCGGAGTACGTCGCCCGACCGAGCACCTCTCCTGCTGCTGAGACGAGCAGCATCCCGTCGCCGTCCTCCTGCAGCTTCACGCCATGCTCCTTCAGCTGGCCGGACGACAACAGGTTTGCCCGCACACCCGGGACGTACAGCACGTCGGGGATGAGCACCTGCTTCCCGGCCTCTCCTTGCAGAGCGACAGTGCCACGGCCCTGGACGTCCTGTAGGGCCCCATTGAAGCCGCGCACGTGCTTGATGGAGCCGCTCGGCTGCAGGTCGACGAAGACTTCCTTCGTCCCCATCAGGTGATGGGAGCAGCCGCTGTCGAGCAGGACCACCGCCGGGTTCGCCTGCACAGCTGCCGCCACCGCCTGGAAGTCCTCTCCGGCCTCCGGCGCCAGCGAGACGGTCGGCTCCACGAAGCCGACCAGCGAGCACGACGCCGTCTTGTCGTCCCGCGCCTTGCCACCAGCAGAGAAGTCGGCGTCCTTCGCTGAGGTCGACGTGGTCGACTGCGTCTCCTTGCGCGGCTTGTTTCCTCC